AGGAAACAAACATTTTTTTTTATCCCGCACAACATCTGTGTAACTCAGCGGTCCTCAGATTTCATATAGTTAAAATTATGGAATTTAGTTCTTATTGCTACAAATATTCCTTCTAAGATATTGATAACGCACACTGCATTTAAACTACCTCTAAACTTGCGGTAAATCTTATTTCGTACGCGTACGTTTTTTTAAAATTATTTTCAAATGTGGCTTCTTGTTTTGTTGTGCTATGGATGACATAGATGCACAGCTTTAATAATCAAAGGCGCCCCCTAACAGAATATTCTACTTACCCCTTTATGGTAAAAGCGCTTCTAACAGAATATTCTAGTTATCCCTAATAAGGGTTGAAACAATGTCAGATTATACCCTTTATTCCTAAATATTCCCTTACCTCTTTCGTATGAATTTCACCACGCAAACCCTTTGAACTCTAACTTAAAAATTAAATGAAATCGACAAAATAAGACAGAAATATTGTAGGGATGCCAAACACACAGGTCCTTTTTTAAGTTAGTCCTGAAATTCAATCCCAAATGTTTAGCGATCCTGAATTTTTTAAAAGACTGAAACTAAAAGTCACTCGGATAATTTTTTTTTAAAAATTCATAGCTTTTTCATTACATTCTAGACATTCTAGATATAGTCCAAGATATTAGTGTTTTTTTATCTTTGTTACAAGCTTTATATTAAATCTAATTTTTAAAGGATTATTCATACTATAAAAATAGTTTAACATTTCAGACGGATCTTGAGCCCATTATGTAATATTACAAAATATTCTAGTTACATGTAATAATATAACCGCTACCAATAGAGTATTCTAGTTAACTCTAATGTAAGTGACGCTTTAAACAGACTATTTTAGTTTCTCCCGTAATGTAACAGGCGCTTTTAGAAAGGATTTTTTTTAGTTACCCCAAACTTTAATTATAACATACAAGAACAATCTGTTTCAGCTAAGATCATGAATAAAACGATACTGTAGCGTAAAATAGTAACAAGTTTACATTCCTATGGTATCTTAATAAACAATAAGGACAGGAAATAAAAAAAAAACACATTGCGAAATAACACCCATGTGAATGTGGCGTGGCGGATAAAAATAGTGCTAAACACTTGCCAATATACTACAATGAAATATTACTTTGGTTTTCCCCAGCAAATTTAAAAATACAATGTAGTTTCGGGTAAAAGGGCATGATAGTAGCGAATTCCCCTGAAAATTTTTCAGAAACATTTAAATTTAAAAATACGGAAACAATAATTATTATATTGAAATCGTTTTCACAAATGAGAAAAAATTATTTAAAAATGGATTGAGACACCTATTGCAAAAACCTTATTCAAAAACAGTTTGTTCAGAACAAAAAGTATTGCGCATTAACATTAGAAGGTATATTTGTAATAATTAGCTTTATGTATTAAATTAATTAAGTTATTTTTTTTTTCAATTAAAGATAAATATGCAATCATATAACAACTTTTTATTTGCGTTACTGGACATAACCCAGTCAGACGGAAACGAAGTTTGACGTCATATAGTAGAAAATAATATCAAGCCGGAGAGTGCACACAGTAATATGACGTCATTGATTCTCGAGTAAACATTGAATAAAAAGGAAATGTTGTCTAATCTAAGTGGTTTGCGTAAAGAGTTTCTTTCATACAATTCTTCGGGTAGGGGCGAAGCCCCACCCCCGCGTAAGAACGTCTAAGCCCCCCACCCCTCCCCAACTCAAAAGAAATTTCTTCATCGATACTCTATAATAAAATTAATGTGTCTAATCTAAAAGTGGTTTTCTTGCAATTTCTTTAATGCGATTCTTCGGGTAGTGGCTAAGCGCGACACCAGTGTTTCTTTCAGACTTTTTCCTCCCCGGAGGGGGGAACTTTTTCTAATCTAAAAAGTGTTTAGCGGGCAGGTTTTTTTTCAAGCATCTCTTCCGGTAGGGGCGAAGCCCCGCCCAGATTCTTCCTTTAGTTTGTATGATCTACAAATGTGACCAGAGTTTCTTTCAGACTTTTTCCTCCCCAGAGAGGGGTGGGGGTACTTGAAATTTTCGGGGGCGGGGGTAGAATTTTCTGGGAGGGGGCGGACACTGGAAAAAATATATAATTATATTTCGTTGAATGGGACGGTAGACATGTTTTGGGGTGTGTGTGTGGGGGGGGGGGCGAAGCCCCCTCCTCCCAAGTAGAGTTGCCTGAAAGAAACTCTTAATGCGACTTTTGTCATGAAAGAGATTAGGTGCATGTTTTAGGGATATGCCCATGACTATATTTTGAATAAATTAAAGTACGGAGAAAATAGACAGTACTATCAACCTAGCGCCCGTTGTATCCTTCCTCAACGGGCCATTTTTCTCGTATATATACACACACACACACACACACATATATATATATATATATATATATATATATATATATATATATATATATATATATATATATATATATATATATATATATATGTTACAGTCAAAGCCCGAAGTGCGGCCAAACCCCGGATTGGCCGGCCAATCCGTGCATTGGCCGGCTCTCTTGGCCAAAGCCCGAATAACTTAGCACTAAGATCGTATTTCGTACATTGGCCGGCCAATGCGCGCACTGGCCGGGACGTACTGGCCAAAGTCCGAAGCGCTTAAACTTGACAGCGTATTTTGTACATTGGCCGGCCAATGCGCGCACTGGCCGGGATGTCCTGGCCAATGTTCTATCTAGGCTAAGTTGTGATCGCATTTTCATTATTCTGGGTGCGTTTTCATTGAGAGTAACATATTGTTTAGCTCTTGTTTGCATAGCATTCTATATGCAAGTCGACATGGATCAAAAGGGCAGTCAGACCATGAGACAGACATAGCAGATGGCTGTCAAAAGAAAAAAATGTAAATCCATGTTAGTTTCCATATATGGGCTCTCGATAAAATAGTTACTGAGGAAGATCGTGAGAACATTGAACAAGAAATGGAGGTTGCCATAAATGCAACGACATCCTCAGCTAACACATCTACTGGCATGGCAGAATGCCCAGACCAGTTGCGTGACAATAATGTTGCCAACAGATTCTATATAGTTTGTGAAAAATATTGTAGTGCAGCTCATTCTTTTGGATCCTGTGGCAACGATGTCCATGCTATTTGTGGAATACTCAATGAAGCAGACGAAGGGTACGGAGGGAAAATTACCTGCAGATTGTGTCACAACAAACAAGACATCATGGAACACAGATCAGCAGCTCATACTGGCTTGCAAACTCAAGGTGCTAAGATGCTTAAAACATCAAATACAAAATTTAAAGATGGTGAAGTGGGTTACAATGTACGCATCCGTTTTCCAGATGTTGACAGAGGTCACGGTGATCCCCGAAGCGTGATTGCAGTTGTCATGAGCGTCGAGGGCGGTTTCTACAAATTAGGAACGGAACATGGTGTTCTAAAACAACTGTATGCTAGTAGTGAGTTTTCAATTCTTCATGTAAAACTGCTCTTATTGTCGTCAGTTGACACTGAGGAAAATTCACTACGAACCATCGCATCTTCACAATCATTGACTGGGTGCCAAGGCTACACTCGCTGCAATTGCACAACTAAGTGCACAAGTGTAAAAATAACAAGCTGCTATATCATTCTAAATCACATAAAAGTTCAACTTGTTCTAACAAATGATGATATTGATAGATTGAGACTATACTACAATAAAAAATTTGAATGCTTCTGTCATTTACTTTAATTAATAATCAATAAAGACTTAATTTCATGATCCTTACGGCATAAAAAAAAATCTGCTCATGATCTTCTAATTCGGACTTTGGCCGGTCGTCCCTAGCAAGATGATCTTCTAATTAAGACTTTGGCCGGTCCACCATGGCCAGTCTGCGGATTGGCCGGCCAAAGGCCGAAATCAAGCAAAGTTTCGGACTTTGACCGACCTATGGGAGGCAATATTGGCCAATGCGCGGATTGGCCGGCCAATCCTAGCATTGGCCGACTTCGGGCTTTGACCGTAACATATATATATATATATATATATATATATATATATATATATATATATATATATATAAGTGTGTTCTACCTCACTATTACGGAGATTAATCAATTAAACTCAATGCTTTCATACAGCACGCCCTGGGGTGTGCTAGGCGGTAGTGTATGCAAACCGATGCTCCGACAAATACGATACAATAAACTTAGCGCAGGCATTGTTTACATTTAAATAACCCAGTTTTAGAAAACAATGCCGCACATCTAAGAATATTGGATTGGTAACGCATTCATAACTTTGAAGGTTGAGATTACTCTTTTAATGGAATCGGGCTATAAAAAATAGTAGGTATGTTTCTGACCAAACTTTTATAAAACACGTTGGTTTATTAGAATGTGATTTTAAATTATCAAATTATCAAATTTTTAGCTTTAGGCTTTTTAGATTTTAGAACTGGTCTCCGATTCTCATAGCATAGCTATTCTTTCGGTTATTCTATCACATAAGGCCTACTTTTCTTCGAGTATGTTATTGTGAGTGTTATGTGTATTTACTTTGGCTACGAAGGGGCGTAACTCGGTAACTTTGTTAGATGAAGAAGAAAAAGTCGAAGATTCGAAGAGGATGAAAAATTGAAAGAGTTACACTAGGAGGAAGAACAACAAAGATTCGAGTAGTAACAGGGTTATCCTTGTCAGTTACTATTAAAATGGAGAACCGGAATGGGATAAGGAAGTATGAGAATATGAGTAATATCGTTTACTATATTGTATTTCAAACTGAAAAAAACAATTCTTTAACATTTTCATCAATAAATTAATCAGTTCTATTATAAGTTTAAACTGTTGTACTTTGATGCCAATAATAATCAATTTTAAATTATTACCGTTCCTCTATATCTGACGCAAGATTTGCTATGGATTTCATCGATTGGAGGGGGGGGGGGGTGGAAAGGGAGGACAACATTTTATAAAGCAATGTAGTACCGTCATTGATTGGTCGACAACAGTCAGCAGTGTTTGTAATTCAATATAGGCCATTCCCCACAAGGGGGCGCTGTATAAATGTGCAGCCACCGCAAGCGGATCTGCAATCCTGCGGGTAATATTAATTCATATTCTACAACTCACGACGCTTTTGTAAAGTATAACAAAACGTTTTACTTCTTGATTAATCGGTAAGTTTTATTAAAACGTTATTTTTTTAACAAAGTTTGTGATTTTAGGTTTAAACATATAATACATAGTGATTTTCTAAACATTTATCACAATGAAACTCTGATCAATCTTTATTATATAGCAAATAAAAACGCACTTAAAATATATTGAAAACGCATCAGTATATAGATCAGACACAAAATCAGTATTTACGTTCAAGTGAGATATATATTTCTTGTTATATACAAGATAACTCGTGGAACCAATCTTTAAATAAATAATGTATATATTAATTGTTTTCATTTTTCGAGTAAAACTTTTCGTCAACCATTCTCGTCAATGAGAAAAAGTAGTGTCCTAGTTTCTGCAATTAAAATAGAAAATTGCGCATGCTAGTAGCCAGAAAAACTAAAACTAAAAAAAAACGAATCTACAATAACAACGTCGGTCAACATTATGGCGTAGTTGGCATAACTTAAGACCTATGCGTTTCAATGTACGCTTGGTTGTCTACCTACCTCGGGGGGAGGAGTAGCTTGAACGCACCCCAGCATTATACGTCTTTTGTTTTGTCCCCGTGTGTGCTTTACGCTACGACAGAGCTACGGGCTATTTTGTTTTGAATTATTAAAACTACTTGTGTTGCATTATTTATTTGCTGAATATATGATTTATCTCGATTTAAAATTGTTATGGATAACATAAGGAAATTACGCTTAAATTGTCACTAGACTTTTTATTAACTTGTTTAGATCTGTCTATGAATTCTTCAAGGTTTATGGTCTTATCACCACCACATAAGTTAGGAGAATAACGATGAACTACAACTACAACTATTTAAATGCTTTCTTGGCAGAGTTTGTTCAAACGAGTGTTTTGTATAGTGAGAAAAATAGTTTACAACATTAAACAAGACGCTGTCTTCGTCTTCATCAGACATGGTACACTAATCACCTCTATATTTTAGCAGTCTCGGTTATAAATGTTAATTTATATGTTGTTGCTTCTAGATAACAATTCTTTGAAACCTCGACCAACTTTTTTCATTAAAATCTTACATTCAATTTTATATAATAAAAATACAAACTGACCTATCAAATCCAGAGGCGTAGCGAGAGGAGGGGGGCGGAGGGGGGACATATGTCCACGGGCGCCGACCTTAGGGGGCGCCAAATTGTAAGTTTGAAGGAGGTGCAAATGAAAATTTCGAGGGGAGGGGGGGGGCTGCAAATCGAAAGTTACTTTTCTAAATTTAAAATTGTTTCAGTTCCATGTGAAACAAAATTAAAACCTGTAATCAAATTAAGCCTGCTATAAATAGAAATGTATTTTGAGTGTCTAGTAGTAAAAACAAACGAACACTTGATATACAACCTAAAGCATAAAATCGACCAACTATAGGTAGGCTACTATTTTATTTGCCCTATTTTCGTAACAATATAAAATTATTTACTTGGATGGTTTTCTTTTTTATCATCCTGTCGTTTAATATCATTCCTTGAACAACTTTACTTTTGTTTAACAATCCTAATATATAAAAGGCCATGTGCGCTCTTCTCTCTCTCTCTCTCTCTCTCTCTCTCTCTCTCTCTCTCTCTGTCTGTCCGCAAAATATTTTCGCCGGACATCACGTCAGAATCGGCAGCGATATATGGATACCTTTATACGGACTTTTGTTGAAAATAATATGTTAGATGTTTTAAATGTATAACCACAATTTTATTTAAAGAAGAAAAATAAAAAATAAAGGCGTATTCGAATGTTGAGAAACAGTATTATTTATGCAACCGGAAAAGTGTTTAAACTTGGGACAATAACGCATTTAACAATGACGTCTTACACTTAAAAAAGAGCACAAAACTGATGACGTCATGAAACTGATGACGTCATCTTTGGAGTTTAGAATAAAAAGAAATGAACTATTTCATTCAAATATGATTTAGAGCTATGTACGCTATGAAATGTATACAATACGATTTTCTCGGCCTAAACTTAAAAAAATTATTTTATCTATTTGGATTCTAGATCTAGAGGTTCTAGATCTAGATATTGATCTAGATATAGATATTCTAGATAATCTAGATCTAGAGATTCTAGATCATATAGATCTAGAGATTCTAGATCTAGATGATCTATAAAGCTAAGTTGTCGGGTGCCCGATAGGGCACTTCCCGGCGCCACAGTCGCTTCAAATTTGGCAGGATCTTGCCCTGTGGCGACAGAACACGGGGGCCGGTTGGCCGAAAAGTCTATGATGAGGGGGTCAAAACTGACCTCGACTGACCGGCGCCTTATATGGGCGAATTAATTAAGCATTCAAATTCTCAATGTTTTCGAAAGCCTAAGCGAAGCTGGGCAGCATGCCTAGTAGAATTATAAAATTGCACTTGACATAAAATCTTACAGTATCGATCTCAACCATTGCGACGCGGTGTCATAACTGCGCACAGTTCAACAGCATCGATCTCAGCCATTGCGACGCGGTGTCATAAATGCGCACACTTCAGCGCAGCAAACCTTCCGTGGCCTTATATAGGCCTACAACATTTACATAAATTATATAAACGATTTTTAAAAATATTTAATTTTACATTTTATCATTTAACACAGATTTCGATATAGTTGTCATATTTCAAACTAATCTTTGCGTAAATCTGTTCTTGGATAAAAAATTTAAAAATGTCGACCCCACCCTCCATAGCGAGCGGCGTATGAATACGCAACACCACCATCAGGATCTTCAATTCGTCAGCCATCTTTCAACAGTGTACTGCGCTTCGGTGAGGTTATGTGACGTGGAGCAGTATATTTTTATTTGCGAGGTACATATTTTCCAGAAGATTATATTTTGTTACCCGTTTATCAGCTAGTTTGTCAGACTTTAGAATTTGTCTTTTTTTTCAAGGTTTTGCATTAATTGTTAGAAACTGTATTAGTGTTCACACAATTGTAAGACAACAATAACTGCATTTACATCTCTTTTCGTTTACAAGATTAGTATACTCAAATGCTGTTTAGATTTTATTTAATTTTAGCACATGGAAAATTAATTGCATTTATTTCTTGTTTTGTTTAGTTAAATCAACTACGCTTAAAATTTTTTTAAACCATTAACTCCACTGTAAGAAATGAGATATTTTTCTTTTTTGGACTAATATACGCATTCATAAGGAATTTCTTTTTATAAATAATTGTTCTAAAGCTTTTTCAATTATGTCTGAGAAAATTGTCAATTTTATCAATATCACTAAGAAAAGTCATGCAATATTTAACACTATCACACACCACACTTATTTTGTATACCAACAATAACTGCAGCAACAAACAATTTTCAACAGACCAATCAGTACAGTCGTGCACTTAAAGTGCAGAAATTTTACACTGCCACCACCAACCACCGCATTGTTGAAATATTTTTGTAAAAACGTCATTTATATTGCAGAATGAACGTAAATAAATGTTGTAAGGATGATCTTTTTAAAAGTTGTTAACTTAAGGCGGATGTAAATCATCACTACACACACTAGTTTTATTTTAGTTGAAAAGACAAACTTCACTAGGATATTGTATCTCACGAACAAAACATATCGCAAGAAATTAGTTGTTTGATTTGAATTATAAAAATATCTTGATGTTATTGTTTTGCTATCCTATACGTTTAGTTAAATTTATCATTTGGTTTGAATTTAAAACTAAAATAGAGATATAATATTGACTATGTAAAAAAAATTAAACAATCCAAGCTCATTAGGTCTAAAAAATAAGATCAGCGAAGATTAATCACACAAAACGGTCTTTGAGGTCACTTCATATAGTGTAAAAGCCATAAATCTATATATATAAAGCACTTCCCGGCGCCGCAGCCGCGTCCCATTTGGCACGATGGTGCCTGGGGGCGCTAGAACACAAGAGCCGGTGACGGTTTGCCGAAAAGTCCACAGAGAGGGGGTCAAAACTGACCTCGACTGACCGGCGCCTTATATGGGCTATATTACGACGACCCCCCTTGAAATTTTGTGAGGTGGTAGGAGAACGCCTTGGGGTGTCACAAAAAACTCGGTATATCTGGGAAAACTTCGTAAAGGGGTCAAAACTGACCAGTTGTATTTCCCTATATAATCTTTGTATTTTATGAGAAAAACAGAGGGTAATTTCAAAACAGATTTTAGGGCACTTATCCTCTGTACACCTGGCTAATGTTTGGCATGCTTATAGGTAAATGGCTTGGCCGTAGGGCAAACCTGTCGGTTACACTCAAAGCCCTCGACGAGGGCTAAAACGTGACCGCGAGTGAATTTCTCTTTATATGAGCTCTATTACGAAAAAAATTTCCTCCGACGACCCCCTTGAAATTTCGTGAGGTGGTAGGAGAACGCTTTGGGGTGTCACAAAAAACTCGCCATGTCCGGGAAAAATCGGGAAACGGGTCAAAACTGACCAGTCGCATTTCCCTATATAATCTTTGTATTTTATGGGAAAAACAGAGGATAATTTTAACAAAGATTTCAGGGTACTTACTCTTTGTATATCTGGCTAATTTTTTGTATACACCTCTATAGATGACTAGGCCGTATGGAAAAACTGTTGGCCAGACTCAAAGCCCTCGAAGAGGGCTAAAAATGACCGCGATTGAAATTCTCACTATACGAAATTTTGTCATTTGGTCTATGAACAGGGGAGGTAACTTTTTAATGTAATAATTTTTTTAAATATTTTGTATACTCTTTTTAAGTAAAAAAAAATATATAGCAAAATAAAGCAAAAATATAGCAAAATAAAAAAGTATAGCATTGTTTAAATACATATATTGTTATAAATTAAGTTTTGCATTGTAGTGAAATTGTAAAAATTGATTGCGAAAGTAATTTAATATAATATTTGATTGATACTATTAAGAAAGCCCTTGCAGTTCTAATAACCTTGCGAGTAATAAGTTTGCGAATATTACATCAATATTTGGGTAACTTACAATTATTCATCTGTATAAATATAGGTCCTAAGCATTTAACATAGCAGCCAA